ATTAGAAATGAGACATCAGGGCCTTCAAAGAAAGTGTACGTTTCTGTGGTGAAACAAAATATGGTATGTGGTGAGTGGTGAGAGAAAGTGAGAAAAGGATTGGAAAAATGAGAGGCTATGTAATTAAAGAAATGTATTAGTTTTTATCACTACTGCAAAAATCAACTTAAATTTTGTTGCTTAAAACACACAAATGTATTATAGTTTTGGAGATCAGAGTCCAAAATCATTTTTAACTGGCTGAAATCCAGATGTCTGCAGGGCTGTGATCCTATAAGGAATCTCAAAGAAAGAATCTATTCTCTTTATCTTTCCCAGCTTCCACAGGTTGCTTGTGTGTGGTGCCTTTTGCCATCTTCAAAATCTGCAGTATGGCATCCTCTAATCTCTCTTTGAGGCTGACCCTACTTCTTTCTTTTGTCCCCTGTAAGGACCTTGTGAATACTTTAGGCCCACACAGATGGTTCGGGATCATCTTCCCACCTCCAGCTTCTTAACTTCATTGAACCTGCCATTTGCCCCTTGCCATCTAAGGTCACACATTCAGAGGTTCCCAGGATTAGGATAAGGAGGTCCAGGGGAGGTAGTATTTTGCCTACCACATAGAATAGTATCATATCTTGATGAATGCATAGAATTTGGAAGAGAGGTTAAACAACCTGGATTAGTATCAACCTTTCTTTTAGTTTGCTCATCTATGAAATTGGTGGAGGAGAGGGGAGTGAGATTACCTTTGGAGCCTCACATTCTCCAAGTAGAATGTCACTTCCGGGAAGACAGGGATTTTGTTTTTTTGTTTTTTTGGTTTTTTTCTGTCTTTTTCACCCCTGTGCTCATTGTCTGCAACAGAGACTTTTATATAATAGACACTCGATAATTATCAGTTGAATAAAATATTTATTGCAAAATAAATCCATGAATGAAGGAAAAGAGCTCTGTAGAGAATTGTCCAGTGACTCCTTGTTAAATGCTAGCTGTCTTGGAGAACTTTGGATTCTTAGCTCTGGTTAGATTATCTAGAATCTCATCATCATGATGTGGGCATTCCACAGCCGGGAGGGAGAGCCGAGGTCTGCAGAGTCTGGTCCTTTTCCCCTTTGTTTTTTTTGTGTCTATGCCGAGCATCCCCCAGAAGTGGGAGCAGCGAAGTGTACTGAGCTTTTGCGTGGCCTCAGTAAATGTCTGGGGCAGCTGCTGACTGAAGAAGAGCACTGTAGCAGTGATTGGTTGCCCCTGGAGCAACCAGCTGTCACATTCCACACCACTCATCCAGCCAGAGTCAAGTCTTGCCCTTTGCATTCCTAAATGAACACTCAACCCTGTGAGGACATAGTATCTGTTTACACTGTGGAAAGTGCCAGTAAAATAGAAAACAGAGAGGTTTCTTGATGCTTAGAAAAATAGCAGTGAGGACCTGCATTTGAAAGTACAGGTGGCCAGAGGGTGGGCATTCATGAATGAGCTTCCCCATAGCTGACCTTTGTAGGGGACTGTTCCTCACTTGGCAAGCCTCATATGTACTTGGATTAAAAGCTGTAATTGACAACTGACATTTAAAGCTGTATAGTTAACAGTTATGTGTAGAAAATGAACTAATTTATTTAAAGGAGCAATCAGTGTCAGAAGAGAGGACTTTATTTATATCAACATAAGGAGGGCAGAGAGTGCTAGTTTTGTTCCGTTTCTTTTTTTAATTAATTAATTTTATTGGTACATTTAATGTATACAATATAATGACATTCATTATTGGTAATTTGTGTAAATACTGAGTAGTTTCTCCAGTGTGAGAAACTGAAAGTATAAATGAGGACTAAAAGTTATAATAGATAATGTGAAACAGGAAGAAAAGAAAGAGGAAAGGGAAACAGGAGAGGTAGGGGAAAGGAACGAAGGGAATGTTCAGCTTCTTAATTCAGAGAATTTGGCTGTCTTTGTGACCTTGGGCAACCACTATACATTTTCTTCTATTTTTAATCTTTTTTTAAAATCAGTGGTGTTTGTAACATGTCATCATCTGGACATAGGCAAATATACATATTGGATATATTTTTCTGGTCAAATAGTCTCTTTAATATTGGAGGAAAAAGTTAAATATGGTTGGGTCTTGTATCTTTGGGTTCTACATTCATGGATTCAGCCAACTGCTCAATAAAAATATTTGGGAAAATCATGTCTATGAATAACACATACTATTTTTCTTATTATCGCCTAAGCAACACAATATCTCAACTATTTACATAGCATTTACAATGTATTAGGTATTTTACATAACATAGAGATGACTTAAAGTATACAAGAGGATGTGTATAGGTTATGTGCAAATAATATGTCACTTTTTACATCGGACTCAAATGATCTCAGATTTTGGTTTGGAGAATGGTTTTGTGGTGAGAACCGATGCCCCATGAATACTGAGGGATGTCTGCCTAGTAAAATATGTTGTGTTCAAGGGTACAGAATGTGTTTTTGAAGCCCATGAACTAGACTCCTAAAGACTTAATAGATGCAGAAGAATATCCTCTATTCTTCAGTCAAGACAAAATTTTACCAGAAACAATTTTTGAAATATTCAAATGAGATCAAAAAAGGGAAAAACCATAGGTGCCAGAAATCAAAAAGAGAATCTAAGGTAAGAAAAGTGAGTGACCAAAAGTCAGGTGGGCTCAGTGCCTGAGGCTGAGTGTGGTGGGAGCCATGCCTGAGGGTACTATCTACAGAGTGGGGGATGGGTCCAAGCTGCAGTGGGAAGGCAAGGGGAGCTGAAACCAAACTCCTTGGAGAGTGAGGTCTGTGAAATCCTGTCCATGTAACTGAGCCTAGCAAAGCTTCACCACACATCCAGGACAGGCAGCAAGGGAGCTTGCCTTCTGCCGGGAGCAGGGAGTGAAAGAAAAGACACTTACGAACTATAAGACTTGAGCCTCTGCTACACACAGGAGTTCAAGTTTCCACCTCCAGTACAGTGCAGAGATGAATGGAATCACTGGGTGTGGACCCTCCATGACTCAGGGAACAGGAGATTCTGGAAAACATCCTGCTAGGGATGAACTTACAGTCATAATAAGTACGTTCAAAGAAATGAAGAACAGGCACTAGATTTTTACAAGTTTATAAAAGGCATCAAACGGAATTCTAGAAATGAAAATCCACTTATTGAACTGCACGAACTGTGAGTGAAAATGTAGATCATGGCAAACATTGCAGAATGGCTTTGAGGACAGTATTTTCTTTTTTTACCAAGGAGAATAATCTTCAGCCCTCAGATAGATGGAATGCTTACCTTACAAACATTCTTGAGTGCAGAACTTCAGTTGCAACTGGGACATAGGTTTCAATAGTGGGTATGACCTGGGGCCTATACACAGGTCTGCTACACAAGCCTGTGCTTTTGTGCTTAAAGAGAAGACCTTGCTGACCCTCTGGAAATGCTGTATTTTGCTTCTACTTTTCTATTAGAGATTGATGCTTCCTGACCCACCCATGAAATGTTATACATCCTCTTCTCTTCTATTGCCCTCCACCCCACAACCCCAGTGATTACCCAATTACCCGTCCACCCACTGTACACATCACTAGGATGAGGTTATCTGTAGCCAGTGACCAGTTTTTATCACTCTTTAGAACATAGTAGTAACTTCAGCATCTGTTGAATAAATGAATTAACTAATGGATATGTAAAATAACCAATTTAGAGTCGTACTATTCTATATTGATCCCAGTGGTCCTAAACAATTACATTTCAAGTGAACATGCCCAGCTGCCCTCCCGATGTGTTGACCTTAGGTTTTCCTAGCCATTCATCTTTGAGGCTGGAGCATCTAGAAGTCTTTCAAAAGCTGAAGAATGTACAAAAGTAAGGGAGAGTTGAACTAAAGGCAATCAAGGTTTAGGATAAATGAATAATTGTGTTTTTCTTCTTAAATTAACATTCTTTTATCAAGAGAGAGAGAGAGAGCAAGCTGAGAAGAACAAAAAATTACATGAGGCAACAATGTATTTTCCTTCCCTGTTCTGCTATTCTACAGAAGAATTTTATGTTGTTTTATTAAAGCTAAGGGACCATAGCAAGCTGAGAAGGCAAAGATGAACCTTGCACATAAGACTAAGGATTGCATATTCCTACATTGTGACTATACAGGAACATTAGCTTATCCCACTGTACTAAATTGCAGAAAGAAAAAACAGTAGCATTTCTAAGTAATAGAGAAGAAGTAGAAGTTGAAGGTCTTATAAAAATAAGGTAATAACAAACTGAAGCTGGAAATTAAAGGGTAAGTAAAAAATACTTCCAAATATGAAAGTGTTCATAAAGTCTTAGTAAATCTTTTGTGAAACTTTAAGACACACTTTGGGTTTAGCTTAGACATCTTAAGGTAGTTTCAAATGACTTCTAATCTATTTGAAATAAGGCTCCTCATGTTAATTTCTGTTTTGGGTTTTCAATAACCTTTTTCCCAAAAAATAAATCTTTTGAAGGTCAGTTTTCAAAAGAAGAAATTTCAAAAGAAGTTGGACTACATTGTTATGTTAGGAATTCTTTGCACCCTAATGATCTCCTGCATTCCTTTTATCATTGGCCACTGGATTCTGTTTTATTTTTAGTAAAAGGACGTTTAGCCCTTTTGAAATATTGTAAACAAATACACAATGGTCATTTTATTACACATATTATTTGAAATGTAAGGAAATTTGTTTATTTACTTAAAATGTGATTGCTAATTAGTTAACACAGACTGCAGAGTGAATCACAGAATCTAATATAGTTTGGGCTACAAGAATTTAAGAACATTAGTACTCTAGTGAGAAAAAAAGGAATGTATTCAGTGATGCAAAATTCATTCAAGTGCTAAGGGCTTTTTTTGGTTTTCTATTTTGTAGCTGCATGTTAGTTTATTTTATAGCACATAAAATGTTCTCTTGTGATCACGTTCACTTTGGTAAATTCCTACTAACAGTACCAGTCAAAGAAAAAATGTGTCACTTTTGTCTTCTTTTACCAGGTCGTTGGTGTAGCCCAGGCCATCAACAAGAAATCAGGAAATGGTGGGACATTCACTGAAAAAGACGAAAAGGTACTAAAACTTGAGTTTGGGATTATGTCAAATTAGAAAGATGCTTTCTTTTTCTTTTAGGTAGACATTTAGAATTAGCTATTGCTAAAGTTGTTGATCATGAAAAACATGATGATTGAAAACAATTTTAAATGTTGGAAGATGTACCCTTAGCTAAAGACTGCATTGGCTTGAATAGTGAGTACCTGAATTACATTCAGCAGAAACTCACAAATTCCCTCCTCACTGTGTCACCAAGGGCTGGGTGCATGTTTGAGCCACACAGAGGGTGACTTACAGTATTTTAACTCTCTCATTTATCTTTCATCGCTGCTATGAAGAGGTTTAACCTTGAAATCACTGCTCCAAGTTCAGCACTGTCTCATTTATCTTTCATCGCTGCTATGAAGAGGTTTAACCTTGAAATCACTGCTCCAAGTTCAGCACTCTGGTTTGGCTAAGAATTGGAATTGCTTCCTGTTAAAGCCAGTTTCCTAGTGTTTTATAAGCTTTACACACAGACGTTGGGGCGCCAAGGTGCAAATTCAGGCGGGATAATGTGAATTAAGTTTCAGAAAGAGCAGCAGTCAGCATTATTATTAATATTAATTGTATGCCTTCTCATCCAACTCTGAAGGAATATATTCTGCATACCACACTGACCTGCTTTTTCTGCACGAATGCCTTTGTATCTGTCCATAACTTCACTCTGTCTGTAGATTTTATTTCTTCTCTTGCAAATACGATTATATGTATATCATACCCTACCCCACTGTATTCCCCTATTCTGAGTCTATTGCTATTTTTGTTGCTTCTCTGAAAATTAGTAGGGGCTTTTGAATTTGGAGGAAAACCAAACAAGGCAGAATTATTTCTGTCTCCTTTCTGTGGGCTGTATTGGCACCTGTGTTGGTCCTTAAGCTTTAATTGTTTTGGAGCACAGCATGTACCTTAAAAAAAATTTTTTTACTCTATGAAAAAAATTTCATACCAAAGTAATAAGTGAATAACAATGGTTAATATACTATATATCATTATCTTCAAAGTACTCAGAGTACAAGACATAGAAAAGATTATTTCTTCCAAAGAAGAAAAAATTGATAACACAAAAACATTTTTCAGTGAACTAAGAGAAATTAATAGCATAAATGAAATAAATTAGCCTATATATTAAAATACTTTTGAAATAATGAAATAAGTAATGGATTATATTAACTTTGCTCCCAAAAGAATTAAAATAATCATATTACAAAGATACATGAATACCCATGTTTATAACATATATATA